AATAGAATAGAATAGAATAGAATAGAATAGAATAGAATAGAATAGAATAGAATAGAAGCTGGAAGGGACTTTGGGGGTCTTCTAGTCCAGTCCTCTGCTCAAGCAGGAGAACTTATACCATTTCAGACAAGTGACTGTCTAGTCTCTTCTTAAAAACTTCCAATGATGGAGCACCCATGATTTCTGAAGATAAGCTGTTCTACTGGTTAATTGTTCTCACTGTTAGGAAGTTTCTTTCTAATTCCAGATTGCTTTTCTCTTTGGTCAGTTTCCAATCATTGTTTCTTGTCTTGCCTCTGGTGCTTTGGAGAATAGTTTGATGCCCTCTTCTTTGTGGCAGCCCCTCAAATACTTGAATACTGCTATCATGTCACACCTGTTTCTTCTTTTCTTTAGACTAGCCAAACCAAGTCCTGCAGCCGTTCTTCATATGTTTTAGTCTCCAGGCCTTTGATCATTTTAGTTGTTCTTCTCTGAACTTTTTCCAAGATCTCAACATGTTTTTTGTAGTATGGTGACCAACATTGGTTGTAGTATTCCAGGTGTAGCCTTACTAGAGTTTTATAAAGCGGTACTAATACTTTGCATGATCTTGATTCTATGCCTCTGTTTATACAACCCAGGATTGTATAAGCTTTTTTGGCTGCTGCTGCCACTGCTGGCTCATAGTTAAGTGATTGTCCACTAGGACTCCAAGGTCCCTCTCACAGTTGCTGTTTTTGAGCCAGGTCTCACCTAATCTGCACTTAAACCTTTGATTTTTCCTGCCTAAATGTAAAACTTTGCTTTTCTCCACATTAAAACTCATTTTATTGGATAAGGCCCATTGTTCAAGTTTGTCAAGATCTTTTTGGATCCTGAGCTTGTCTTCTGGGGTGTTGGCTATTCCTGCCAGTTTAGTGTCATCTGCAAATGTGATGAGTTCCCCTTCTATTCCCTAATCTAAGTCATTATGAAGATATTGAAGAGTACAGGAGACCAATTATCCACATGTATAAGCATGCCTATCATGTTCTGACATATTTTGCTCAATTGGATCTCCTATCACATCAAATTAGACATACAATAAAATCACATCAAATTAGACTTACGATAAAATTGCCATGTTTACAATGAACAGCTAATCATTTTTTTAACAAGACTGTCAAGAACATATGTTTGTCAACTTTACTAATGATAAATGATGCTATTCCTCTTAGAGAGCCCTAACTGTTGTCGAGGGTGACTGTAGCCTCTGGAAAGATCAACTTAACACCTTAAAAAAAGATTGGAGTCAACTAACTGACCAGCACACTGAAGTCAAAAACAAGCTGCATGTCTTGGAGAACAAACTGCAGGTAACCTCCTTGTGAGGCTATATTCCAGGTTTTCATTTCACAGTAGCATTTGTCAAGTTAGCAGTTTTTAGTGATAGAACTGAAAAAGAAACCATGGCTCAGACACCTATTTATGGTGAATTGTTACCAGCATCCTAATGACAATAGCATATCATTTCAATACATAGGAACAAAGTTGCTGCTGTTCTTGTTTATGCACTTTTACAAAAGCATATAGAATTCTATCCAATACAATTAGCTTACAACTTAGCAGCCAAACCAGTAAATAAACATTAACAACTAAGATAAACTAAATGCAACAACTATACACATATTGAAAATGCCATATGGCCAAGAACATGTGTATCCATAATTAAAATAAAACCAGCAATAACCAAGGAACTGCAAAATTGACAGTGGGGGAATCATGCCTTAAAGAAACCCACTAGTCAAATAAGCAAAGTTATTGAAAGGATCTGAAGTAATCAGTGCTACATTTCCCCAAACACAACAGATATACAATACTACCATCCAGAAACTTGTTTTCAAAGAGGTAGAATTCTAGTTATCAAGTTTACAGGCATCTCATTTACATGTTAAACTATCTATCAGTAAAACAGCTGTCATGTTATTTCTGTTTTAACACTTGAATACTCTTTCATGTGATTTATAATAGCAACTCAAGTGTTCTTATTGTGCTTATTTCATGCTTACAGTGGTCAGACACTCAAAATTCTCAACTTCAACAAGCCCTAAAAGACATGGAGAATGAGTGTGCAAGTCTGTATTCAAGAATTGATAATATGCAAGAAGAAAAGAGACTCATCATGGAATATCTTGGTGAAATGGAAGGTAAAGAGTCAACAGCAAGAATAAGAAGCTGGATTGTGGTAGAATTAATTAATGTAGAAATCTCATAAGCTTCCATTTAAATTACCTTTAACAATTAAAACAAGATTGTGCAATGTATACAATACTACAAACTGAACTGAACTGAAACAGAACTGCACAATTTATCAGGGCCTTGGACAAGAGACAGTCTGTAAAGTTTAAGATTTTTTTCCTCCCATGTACTTTATGTATAATATTTAAAACTAACTGGCTGTTTCTGGGGTGGTAGCCACTGATTTCAAACACTAGTAAGATATTGAATAATAACTGAATAAACTTAAAATGAATAAACTTACAACCAAATAAATAAAGTTAGAATGAATATTGAAGAATGGTTATTTGAATTATTCTCTCTTTCCTGCAAATCAAAATCACTTTATAGTAATATGCTGCTAGGTACTGGCTATGGACAAATAGAAATGTAAATGCTTCCAGGCAAGTAATTTCCTGGTGTATTGTGTGATTGTTTGATCTTATAAAACAGGGGTCCCCAACCCCCTGGTCCATGGACCAGCACCGGTCCACAGCATGCCAACAAGCAGGCTGCACAAAAAAGTAAAGCTCCATCCTCGGGATGCAGGCAGTATTCAAAACCACACTCCTTCTGGTCCGTGGAAAAAAACTTTCTCCATGGCACCGGTCCCTGGTGCCCAAAAGGTTGGGGACCTCTGTTATAAAAGATATACCAGATAGTCCTGAAGTCTGACTTTCTCAGATAAACAATACAATTGCTATAATAAGTTAAACTTGTTATTTTTTAATGAAATGTACAGCTTGTTTCTTGAGCCACCAGAGTATTCAAAAATTACTTGTGTTGCTCTGCTTAATGTGGTAAACAATGCTGCTTCATTTGGATTTAGTAAAAAAAAGAATGTCAGGGCTGCAGTGTTTAAACATCATACAATATAAATTTCTATAGGCTAGACCTAAATCCATCTCCCACTTACAATGCTCAGGCAAAAGAAAAAAAACTGCAGAAAATTATATATCTTTCCTTATTCTTTTCAGGCAAGCTGCAAACTGAAGCAAGGCAAAAATTCATATTGGAGGCAACAATTGAACATCTTCAAAGTAAGTAAAGCTGTCTGAGAAAAGTGGTAAATAATTAACTTGGAGGTCTATCATCATAGGATAGGTACATTCTTTGAGAGTATTGTGAATTAAAAGTCTCAAGCTGTTATTTTTGTTTCTTCTCAATATATCAATACTTGGGAATATAATTCCTGCAAATTCCCATCTTTACAGCTATTAGTCTCTGCCATTAGTGCATTTAAAGAGGTCAGGGTAGAGCCACCAGCTATATCATTGAATGTAGTAGTGATTTCTTAAGTGTGATAAAAATGACCTATATCACTGAAAACATTAGGCTTTTGAATGTGGAATAACTTTCAAGCAGGGCATAAGTGAGACTTAAAATAAGCTAAACTGGTTAGCATAATATAACCCGAGCAAGATGAGTGAATTGTCATAGGAATAATAATATTATTCTTGTTAATTTTACGGTAATAATTATTGTATTTAATAAAAGTAGTAGCAGTAACACAACACTAACCATATCAATACAAGATTGATACTGTATCCTGGATTATTTGGTGCTCCAAGACGGAAGTTTTTAAGAAGACATTGGACAACCATTTGTCTGAAATGGTATACAGTTTCCTGCTTGAGCAGGAGTTGGATCTGAAGACCTCCAAGATCCCTTCCAACTCTTATTCTATTATTTTGTCTTTGTAGTATTCATTTCATAATCTATATTACTATTGTTGGTGATGATTAAAGCTATAATAAAATAAACAAATCTAGATAGTCGATTGTCTTTTTTTTAGTTTCAGTTTCCTTATAAAAACAAACTGCCTACCAATGCTACATATGTAAATATATTGGATATATTTACACATGTGGTGGTACTCCATTGCATACTTCCCTCCATGTAGAGACAGTTCTATTAAGCACTACAGATTGACTGCAGTTGGTCAGCCAGTTATGAATCCATCTGGTGGTGATGCTGTCTAACCCACATTTTTTTTAATTTTATTAAGTAGTAGGTTGTGGTCTTCTTTATCAAATGCCTTATTGAAGTCCAAATAAATTATATCCGCAGCATTTCACTGGTTCGCTAATTTTATCACTTTGTCAAAGGATGTAATAAGATTTATCTGGCATGATCTGTTTTTGGCTTCTGGTTATGGCTTTTTTGCCTCTAGATGTTTGCAGATTTGTTCCTTGATTATCTTTTCCAGGATCTTCCCAGGAATTGATGTCAGGCTGATTGATCTGTAGTCTCGTGGATCCCTTCCCCCCCCCTTTTTTTTTGGAAGATTGGGACCACATCAGCTCTTTTCCAGTCCTCTGGTAGTTCTCTGGTGCTCCAGAATCTTTGAAAGATATGGTTCAGTGGTTCACATCTGCTAATTCTTTCAGAATCTTAGGATGTAATCTACCTGGTCCTGATGATTTGAACTCGTCTAGAGTGGATAGATGTTCTTTTATCATTTTCTTGCTTATTTTGACTTGCATTCCTAATCTGCATTTTACACTAATTTTTTTTATAGATTGGACTATTTTTTCCTTTTGTTTAAAGACAGATGCAAAACATTGAGTTAAACAGTTCTGCTTTCTTCCTGCTGCTTGTTACCTTCTTGCCATCCATTTTCTCCCATTAATGGACCAATCATTTCCTTGACTTTTTTTCTTTTACATGTTGAAATAAGTTTTGATGTTTCTGACTTTTGTTGCAAGCCTTAGTTCATTTTGAGGTTTTAATTCATGCATTTATTGAACAAGGCAATCATCCTGCAATATCATAGGACATGTTTCTGATATCATTGTTTTTATAGAGCAGACTGTCGCAGTGCCCAATGAAGTCCTCAGTTGGGTGACAACTAAGCAGAATGTCCAATTAGAGGAGGAAGAGACAGAGAAAGAGAGTAGCCTGCGAGAAGAACTGCAAAAAAGGACATCTCAGCTTGCAGCTAAGAAAAAAGAGGTGAAGAGGTGATTCAAGCAGCTAATAAGATTAAAGGATCTCATTAGGAGACTGTTATCTGTAAATATCTTACAATGGAACTATGATGTTTTGTATTATCAGTTCATATCTCATCAAGCTAGTATCTTGCATTTGATCTCTTACATGCATTATTTCAAATTTCTCTTACACTAAATATATGTCCAACTGCTTATCACTGATAGTAAACTCATATTCTCTTTCAGTTGACAATATATACCTATTGTGTATGAAAAGGCTGATCATTGCTGTATTATAATAATGTATTCTTAATCCTATAATAATGTATTCTTAATCATATGCAAAGACGTGGAACAGAGGGACTGATCCAGATCCCATATTGGATTTTTCACATCCAAACACTAATAGAGCAGCTCAGTTTTAGTTTATGTTAACAAAACAGCTAACGTTTTCCCTGATCACAAATCAAATATGAGAATCAAGCCCATATTGTTTTGGTTATTTTGCTAACTAAAACTTGTACTTGATACTATCCCCTCAATTAGGAACAAGGTCAAGAAAAATAGCATGTATGTCATAAAAATAACTAGTGTTCTGCCAAAAATTTATTCCACATCTTTTCATTCATTCTTACTTAGATGAACTGATAAAATAAATTGTTCTCCTAAAAGAAATTTTCAGTCAATATCGTATTTCACCCATGAGGTGTTTGGCACGTAGTTACATGCAAAGTAGACAAGGATGGTGTGTAAACATCTTGCATTTTATTATACAATTGTCGTGGATTTTGTGGCTTTCCATGATTCAGTTAAAACACAAGCAATTTATCATGAGTCAACTCTTTTCAAAGTAGATCAGGAACCATTGGCATAGAATGACATAGAATGCTTTTAAACAGTATTGATAAGACCTTTGGCTGTTGTCACATTCGTCTCCTTAAGTGCTGTTCTCTAATTAAGCTAGTCTTCTAAATTTAAGCTAAAATTAAGAAAGGATTTAACATCCGCAATCCCTTTATTCCTTTTGCTATTAAGGTTGGACTCTTAACATGAATCTGTGACACCATCTTGGTTAAGGTCTTCCATGCTAGTATCCATTTTAGTTTCAAATCGTCCCCAATGTTTCTTAACTTCACTGCTTCTCGCCCCTCTCAATTCCAAAATATATGAACAATTCTGTAATATATATAAGGTTTCCCAATGAAATGCAAGCCTCGCAATGGGGACTGTGACATTGAAACCTTAAAATAAAATGCCATAAGCTTAAGACTTTTCTAATACAATACATTGCAGCTAATTTTGACACAAAAAGAAACTTCTTCCCCCAGAGTCAGCAGGAACCAGTTTTTTCACCTGGCAGTATGCAATATGCCAAGAGTGCTTTACAGACACAAACTGATAGGGATGCATTCAGGGGCAAATGTAAGGCATAATTCCCAATGTGGCAGGATGGTACATTGGGACTATTTCTTGCCGATCACATCTACCCGACCCACTAGAGTGGGGATGCAAGGAATGTTGCGGGTCCCATCCCCTAAGGAGATACATCTGGCGGAACTCAAAAGGCCTTCTCTATGGTGGTTCCCTCTCTCTGGAACATCATTCCCGAGATTAGGCTGGCCCCCACTCTAACACTCTTTTGGAAGGCACTGAAGACCTGGTTCTGCCAGGGGAACCCAGAGCAGGATGGAGCCTGCTAGTTTGAATGTGTGTTGTTGCTGGGGTGGTGTGGTGGGGGGCTATTATTTTATTATTTTCTTGTTATTTTTTATTCTTTTATATGGTGTTTTTATATCTATGTAAGCCACCATATGCAACTAGGCAGCAATATAAATTTTCTAAATATATACAATAAAATAAATGGTATAAACATACTTTTAAAAAAAAATTAATTGTACAGTAGCTTCTGAAAATAAAGATCTATTTTCTGTGGAACGAAGAAGGAAAACTAGAACATAAATTATTAAACAGATGTTTATATTCATAATTTCACAGTAATTCGGAAAAGCTGTATCTAACTAGCAGCTTTTATTTGTTTCTTTAAAATAAAATCAGCTAGAATTGTACATACTGCAGAATTTTAGCAGCTTGATCTTAGAAAACTTTGGGGTCTGCAAAAATAGGAATGAGGAATGGCAGATGGCTTCTTGGGCTCATGATACCTACCCTGCCATAAAAATTTTATTAAAACAATATAGAAAACAGTCATTTTAAGCATGTTTTGTTTTCTTGTCCAGTGCACTGATCTCTGTCATAAACTAGAGATCCTGAACAATGAGTATAGCAGTTGCCTTGCCAATTTACAACAGTGTCGTGATGAATTCAAGCACTCTCAAAACAAGCAAGCCCAGGTAAGAGGCTTTGAACTTCCATTTGTGCTACTTAATCTTGCAACCTTAATCGTCAAAGATACAGTACAGATTTCCCCAATCAACTCGGCATTCTACAGAAATTGGGATTCAAATGCCCAGAATTCCTATAAATCCATCAATTTACCTCAATGCTAGCATATCTAGAAGTTGAAATCCTAACCAATCCAAAGAGTTCTTGGTTGAGAAAACTGTTATAGTCCACCTTTCTTATTTTGGTACCCTGCTCATGGATTTGAACTTAAATGTTTCAAAAATAAATGTGCATATATATGCAACAAAAATAAAGATATTGTGATGTTACATTACTATTAAAGAGACTGGGTGCCAAGCAAGACTTCATAGAAAGCCTGGGATATACAAACTGGGTATTTTTAAATTAAACATGTACAAAAAATATTTTTTTATTATTATAACCCGCCAGAGTCACTTAGGTGAGATGTGTAGAAATATGATGAATAAAGTCCCTTTATACACTTGTAATTTTCTTAAGACCCATGCACGAAAGATTCATCTTGTGTCTCTGTAGTATGTTTATGAAATGTAGCTTTTAAGATATCTTTTTACCAAAACACACTGAATAAAATTGAGTCATAATTCATCTATCTTCAGCATCAACACTATAGTTTTATTTTTTCTTTCTTGCCATTGTAGAGGGAGGGAAAAAAACTTTTACTTCCGATACATATATTTTAATCAAATAGAGGTACAAGCTTCTCTGAAATAAAATAACAATGTGAAAGCACAATAAAAGTGTCACTACATGACCAGGTGTAATTGGGTTTTTTCTGTGTACTTTATAATCAATTTACTATCTCTAAACATTTTATCTTTTTTCAGAGAAAGCATGATCATTGGATTCCTATCATAATGGTAATAATGGTAACAGCTCTGGTATCTTATTTAAGCAACTTTACACCTTGAACATACCTTGTCTTATTTGCCAACTACTGACTGCACTATAGCAGTCTAAATTATCTCAAATGGTTAGTATTTCTATTTTAAAATGCTTGTAAAATTAACTGCATATTGTACTGAAGGAGTTTGTCTGCTTGGTTTTGTGTATTGCTTAGTTTTTGTACTGTTATTATTAAAACCAAAGCAACAAATATCGATTGTATGCCTATCCATATACCACTGATCTCTATATCCATTGACACAATCACCATTCTTACAGTTTCAAAAATCTTAAGTTCCTCAATTTACTTAAGTATTACTTGACCATACTGGAATTGAAATCATTGCCTATTTTAGCTGGAGAATTCTTTTTGCCTGGAATTTGGAATAGATTGTTCAATAATATATTCTGGAAAAATAGGCTAACCTGAAATAGATTCTGGGAAATTTAAGCATGAAGGATATCCTGAATGCTGCTGAAAGTGCACATTTTTAAAAAAACACTGACATAATTGCTTAAAACTAAGCTGCCAAATTGCTTTTAAACAAATCAGTAGAATAGTGTGGAGAAGCACCGTTATCTATCTATGAATTGTGATTCATATTTACAAGGCCACTGCTGATAGAACAATCACCTCATTTGCAATGCAGAGATTAGCAAATTCTTTCTGAGCTTTAAAAGCATCCTTGAGTTTTTCACACCATGTGCTGAGGTTCATTTTCATGTCTGGATACAAGAGTTCTGGGATACTGAAAGAATAAAACCTAACTCTGAAATCACTGTTTACCATACAAAATGTGGCTTGAACAGTAAACACTCTCAGTGGAATTAGTGTAAGACAATTATCAGAACTCTTCTGAGTAGGAAAATTATAGGATGCTGGATACCCTAGCAATACACCAAATAGAGTACAGAGATTCCATTCAGTCGAAAAAATTTCACTTGAAGATATTGTCTGAGATGTATCTTCTGTTAGTACTTTAATATGATTCAATATTTCTGACAGATGGCTTTTTATAAGATTCACATTTTCTGAGTTACAAAAGGTAGGACATGGTCTAGAAGCAGAAACATCAATGAAAGTGACATTATTGCTAAGCAGGACTGATTCCAGACACAAACACATCAGTCCCAAGTTGATTATTAGAACATTTTCGGCTATATTAAGAACATGTAACCGACATGTAAGTTGAAGGGTAGTTTGAAGATGTTGAACATAGTCCAGAATCTGAGAAGTCCCAGCAGAATTGTAATCATACAGAAAAGCTGGTTTTAAACCAGCTGCTACTGCCAATACCTCCCCAGCTACATTCAAGGAGGCTGAAGATGATAATCTTTTCTTCTTTCCAGTTTTAAGATGATGTTGAGCTGCCTTAATGAGCAGTTGTGTCAATGGCTCCGCCATTTATAGCTCATTAATTAGAGAGATAACTCTATTAAAGAACTCCAGAAACACTTGATTGTCCACTGGCTTTAGACATCTGCTTCTTCAGCCAGGCCTTAGGAAATAGTAAAACATCAATTCATAGTGATGTAACAAAAATAATTAATAGTTTCATTTTTATAAATGAGTCACTGAAGTAAGCTGAAAGAAATAATGAACGGAAGATATGTGAGGGAAATGAGCAATGGAAAGTTTGACATACATGTAATTCATTCTGAAACAAGAATGTAATATAGAATTATACATGCCAAATTCAGAAAAGAAAACAGAAAAGTTCTCAGAAAAGAGAATGAATGCTCAGTTTTTACTGCAGTCGGGATAAGCTTCACATTGCATCTACGGGTGAAACCTCATTCAAATCAGAGTAATCAGATGGATTTTTTTTTCACAGTAACCAATGTTTAGCCTTGCAATAGCAAAAATCATAAACTAGACTGGTTACTGTAAATATAAAGCATATAAGAATTAATAAAGTTGCTTCTCTGTTCAAGGACTGGAGAGGGGAAAATAGGTGCTGGAATGCTCTCTGGGCAACCAGATGATTGTTTAATCAGCTTTCTCCTCTATTTTTTATTTATGCCTTCAAGTAATTGTTGATTCCTGGCAACTGCTTGGACAAGCCTTTGTAGATTTCTTGGCAAGATATTGAAAGTGGTTTACCATTGCTTGCTTCTTGGGGTTGAGAGACTATGACTGGCTTAAGATGCTATGCTCCAGTACTTACAGCCTCCTGACAGTACTGTACACTTACAGGTTCTACATCAAACTGGCTTTTCCTCTCAACTTACACTGAGACAAATATTAGTGTGTTGATCTTTGTTTAAACTGTTTAGGATATAATTCTCTCATATACAGTATTCCTGTATTGCTAAATGGTACCACATAAACCTTATGCATAACAGTTCATACAGTTAATATTTATTAATTATATATCACCATTGTGCACACCACCAATTTGGTTAAAATGAAGACTATGAAAAAGCTCATTTTTCCCCTTGATGGAAAGAGTAAATTGGGAGTAAAGGATCTGTGCCCATTCAGATGCTACAGAGTTATAATTCCCAGCCTCTGTTATCATGTGCTATCTGAAAAGTTGTAGTTCAGAAACACTGAGAGAACCATTGAGTCTAACTTGTCCCATGATACATACCACACAATACAGAAATATTAGAGGCAGTGGTTGAGATGCTGTTGTTACAAAGTGGGATCAGAAAATCCAAGCAAAACCAGTAACAAAATATGCTTAAATAACAAAACACCCACTTTGCTTTTGAGTTGTACATCTCACAACTTGCAAAGGATCAGTTGCTCAATCACATTAATTCCAACTTTTGTATGACGAGGTGATGACTTCCCGCTGCATTCCTTAGCCACCTGGTCCCATTTTATGTTTCCACTGCTGGCCCTTTACTAAGAGCAGGCTCTGATCCATAAAGATCACGCAGCAGAACTCAGCCCCGAATCTTGAAATAAGTGCCACAAGACTGAAGCTATCTTACATTTGTTCCACATCTCCCCATCGCTCACCCTGGACGTAAAAGCCAGATTCAAAAAGCTAGATCGCCATCTAAATAATGGTTACTCGTGTGTACATTTCTTAACGTTCGGTCTGCTTAAAGATCAATTTTGTTTTGAAGTTTGAAGGAAGCAAGCTCCCAAATGGGACCTGTTCATTACGCCCTATTTTCTTGGCTTTATTGAGCAATACGTTTTACATTTGTGCCCTGACTTCAATGCAAGTAGGTTGTAGTTCAGAGCGCAGACATTTAGGGGACGTCGCCAAGCGACATTACGAAGCCGACCTGCCTCCGGCTGCCCTCTCTCTCTCTCCTGAATAGACCCCACTAACCTCCGCGAGTCTCGGCCACGCCGAAACAAACTCGGTTCCGCTCACGAGCGAATTACATTTCCGCTTCCTATATCTTGAGCGAAGGCAACAAACGTAGAGCTAGAAACCGGAAGGAAAAGGCTGGCTCTCACCGCCAACAGCCAGGCCTTAAAGAGACGGGAGCGAAGAGCGAGGCTGCCCGCTGAGATGTACTAAGTTCGGGAGGGGAGGGGAAGAAGGGAGAAGCGGATTTCATCCTCCACTAGAGCAGTGTTTCTCAACCTTGACAATTTTAAGGCATGTGGATTTCAACTCCCAGAATTCCACAGCCAGCATTGCTGGCTATGGAATTCTGGGAGTTGAAGTCCACATGCCCTAAAATTGTCAAGGTTGAGAAACACTGCACTAGAGCTAACACCTGTATCGCCAGTAACAAGTGTTGCGGCAAGGGCTGATTTTGCCCTGACTTGAACAGTATCCTGGAATAGCAGCCACGGGCTCTACAGAAACGGGTGTAGCACAGGTATCCACAGCAAACTGATTGAATCAGAATCAGAATAGAGCTGGAAGGGACCTTGTAGGTCTTCTAGTCCAGCCCCCTGCTCAAGCAGGAGATCCTATACAATTTCAAACAGGTGGCTGTCCAATCTCTTCTTAAAAACCCTCAGTGATGAAGCACACACAAACGTTTGAAGGCAAGTTCGCTGTTAGGAAGTTTCTCCTTAGTTCCAGATAGCTTCTCTCCTTTGATTAGTTTCCATCCATTGTTTCTTGTCCTGCCCTCTGGTGCTTTGGAAAATAAATTGACCCCCTCCTCTTTGTGGCAGCCTCTCAAATACTGGAATACTGCTAACATGCCCCCCCCCCCAGTCCTTCTTTTCTCTAGACTAGCCAAACCCAACTCCTACAAACATTCATATATTTAGTCTCCAGGCCTTAGTTGCTCCTTTGTACTTTTGTATCAGGATTGTACCATCCTGATAACAATCAAGGTTGTATCAGGATGACACACACGCGGTGCTTTCATGCTTCTAACCCCGCCAGTACACACTGCATTTGTGTCTCAGTTTCATGCCATTCTATCAGTCTTTTTGCTTTTTGTCGCTCGTTCCCCACCCTCTAGAGTTGATACTTGAGAAGTCTTGAAATGGTAATTTATTGCTTTGCTCATTAAAAAGGTTTAATATGAGAAAACAGAATAACAGAGTTGGAAGGGACCTTGGAGGTCTTCTAGTCCAACCCCCTGCTCAAGAAGGAGACCCTATACCATTTCAGACAAATTTGATTTCACAATGATTATAGCTACTAGATCTGGGTTGGCAAAATCCAGATACTCACTAGCTATAAAATGTTTAAACTGTTTAACTCTTGTCCACCATCTAATGGTTGTTTCTTGGCAGCTTGCAGCCCTAACATCTACACTATTTAGTAAATAGGAGGGGAGAAAGAGTGGTAAGCTCATGGTGGTAGTTCATTTGATCTCTATTTGATTTTTTTTTGAAGCCATTCACAAACTGGATTCATGAAAAAGTTGGAAGTAGGTATCCAAAAAAAGTGCACATTTTCATGTATGCTATCAGTAATGCTTGTGTAAAGTAGGCCATTTTACAAGGCAATGTAGTAAGACAACAGACAATATTCCAACTATTCCATTTATTGTAGAAAAAGCAGCTATGAAAACATTTTAATATACAAATGATTTTCAAAACAAGAAGTTCCAAAACAAATACTTGGTAGAAAGCAGAATGCCAATTATCTTTGGAATGCAAAGTAGGTTTGATTCAGGTATATGTAACTGCTAGCTAGCAAAAATGTAAATGTATCTGATGCTAAGATAACACAATGTGATGTGCTATATGAAAATACATTTTCCATCATAGCTTGTCTAGAATTAAACTACAATTACAATTTTAAAATTGCCATATTTTATTGTAATTAAACATTGCAATTAAAGATAAAAATACAAAAGAAAAAGAAAAAACAAAGTGCATAACAGAAAGAAAAGTAAAAATACAGTAAAGAAAAATATATATAAAGAAATGGCTTCCCCTTTAAATCACAAGTATAAACAATTTTAGTAACATATCACCTCTTAAAATGCAACACATAAACTTCTCACCGTATTTCATGCCTTATTTATAAACAGATTCTTAAAATCTTGTCATGAAGTCCTGGTTGGCATAAAGGTTACCAGATATAACTGTATCTATTCTAACCAACTTTACATTTGTTTCTTTTACTTTTAACAATCATCTTTAATCCCTTCAAATGTCCTAGAACTTGATCTCTTTTCTTTTTTTGTTCCTTCTCACAAAATTTTTCAAAGCTTTAACAGATGTCTTTTGTAAATAAAGTATAGGAAAATTATATAGTCCACTTTTTTGGCTTGTTATTTTTGTATCCCTTTTAATTATTAAGACATCCTCTAGTTTCATATGTCCAGTGTAGGATCTTTTCCCATGTCATTATTGTAGCCTATCATTTTTAAATCCATCTTCAGATCAATCTCAGTCTTGTCCAATAAAACGTGTTCCTCTACCACAGGGGTGTCAAACTGCTGGCCCGTGGGCCAGACACGTCACGTGGAAGCCGTGCCCACCCCATTGCCGGCAATGGCAAAACTGTCCTGATATGTTTCGCGACATCACGTGATGTCGTGAGTTTGACATGTCTGCTCTACCATAACATCTTTTAAACAGTCTGTCTATAATGCCAGATGCTCTTAAAATTAATTTCTGGGTCTATTGTTCAAAAATATTCTTCAATATGCCCAATGTTAAGTATTTTGCTCTATTCTGTGTAAGAAGCCAAACTTAACTTCTCATTTAATTGTAATATTTAATTCTTTGTGATTTCCTTCTAGTGTCCAACCTTCAAAGATTCATCCTATTCTTTTAAGCATTCATTTTTCCATGGGAAGAATTCTTATAATTCCAAAATTTTATTTCAAATCCATCTGGACCTTTAGATCATTTGTATCTTTCCAAAATGAGCATTCTAATTATCTTTTTGCTATTCAGTAAAAAAAAAATCCTTAAAACTATTTTTTGCTAAGAGTTGAAGCAAAGTAACCTAGTGTTATAAAACATGTAAATCCAAAGGTTCCTTTAACTTTCCTGAAAAACAGTTAAAAAGCAATTTGCTAAAGTGATTTGAAAAGGCAGAATGCATACCCTGTGACCTTTTAAAGGTGCCAACTGTGATTTGAACAAAGATAGCTTTCCCTCATCTCCCAGAGTCTAAACTGTCTTGCAGTCTGCTCATGAAGAACAGCTGTCAGGAGAAATTATAAGGTGATTTCCTCTCCTTATCCAGAGAAAAATTATAAAGTGCCAGTTTATTTCTTGGCTCTTCATTCTGCCATGGTCTTCAGTTCACTATTTCTTCTCCAGAAGTCCTAAAAGTGCCATATTTACAACTGACTGAATTAGCTTTTGTTACAATATTCATTTTGCGTATTCACATTTTGGCAACATTCATTTTTTTAAAAAAACAAAAAACAAATTTCCTACACATGCTGTCTTGAACAATTTTTTCACTTTGTACAAGTAGGTTACATGTTGGGCTACAGCATTCAACATAGAAAAACATGTAAAGAGCTTCTATTTTACCAAACTTAATATCTATTATTGTCTTTGTTTTCAATTGGTTTTAAAGTCACTTTAATTTTAAAACATCCTTTTCAGCTTAAAATTCACGCACTTTCTCATTTATATAGAAATAAAACAACAAACAATAGCTAATAGAATCAAACTATCTACTGCTAATTATCAAATCATTATTTTGAAAAATTTAATTTATATTCGTTACAAATTTCACAAGTAGCAGCAGCAATAGGAGTAATTTTTTTAAAAAAGTAATCATGAATTAATAGAATGCATTTAAACTGTGTTATAAAAATACTCTAAGAATAGAGGAGTGAAATAAGTATTCCTGTCAAACTTATTATTATATTTTTTTTAAAAAGCACCACAGCATTACATGCAAGCAAGGAAAAGTTTAAACTTTATATTTATATAGTTACATGTATAAAAGTGAAAACATTTCTAGAGAAATATGCTTGTCTACGTGTATTTTAACTAGATCAACTTTTGCAAAATTATTTATGACAGATTATATTGTGTATCAATATTTGTCATTAAAATGTCACTGTGAAGAAATATTTAAAAGTGTTTTTATTTCAATTAATTTCAATCTAGAACTGAAGAATTCAGACAATTGCTTGTCTATCCAAGACTGGGTCATCACTGTGCTGTGAGGGGTGGGGTCATCTGCATATTTGGTGGTTGCACTGGCCAGCCTTCTTGGTGATTCTGCAGCAGACGGTAGAGTTGTTTTAGCTGGGCAACAATGTTATCCTTGATATCCGGAATAGAGATCTGTAGACGCACACTGCCACTGTCAAAGGAGCGGGTGAAGTCACCAGAGAACATTTCATAGATCATCCGGGCTACAACTGGAATTACCTGTTTGAAAAGAAAGTTCTTGTTAATCTAACAAAAGATGATCAATTCCTGAAAGTTCTTCTGAGAACCTAGAATAAGCCAAATGCTCAAGCTGGTGAAGACTACTGAGAAATGTACTCTTGATTGATCACATTTACACTCCAGCACAATCTCGAAGGATTCTCAGTGCTTCACAAAGTTCACATTTAGAGTTTACATGACTTGCTTTTTGAGATCAAAGTCATGAAAACACTTCAGAACAGAGATAGAAAAAAAATGCAGCAACTATCAGCATTCTATGCAACATCGAAATGGAAAAAGAAAGATAGTGTTCCAGCCCAAGGATGATTTTCAAAAGGCAACTAGACTTTGTTGATTTTTTTCCCTTGAAAAGGTTTTACTTCTTATCCAAGAAGCTTCTTGGATGACAAGTGAAACATTTTCAAGGAACAAACCAAGAAACTCCAGTTGTCTTTTGAAAAGCACCTTTGGAACAACCATGACCTAGATGATTGAAAATCTCCATAGACATGTAGTATTCTATCAAAACATTATTAGCTACTATAGATTATGTCACCAGTAAACAGTCCTTGCTCCACTGCAGCAATGAAGAGGAGCCATGGCAGTAACAAATGCATCAACAACTATGCACCAACTGCTATACCAGGGGTAGGCAACCTCGGCTATGCTGACTCAGGAATTCTGGGAGTTGAAGTCCACGAGTCGTAAAAGAGCCGACGTTGCCTACCCCTGTGCTATATAGCATTAGCTATTTGAAACAACTGTTTCCAAGGACATTAGGGTACATGATTGATTTCCATTAACTCATTAATGCAAATCCAAGTCTGCAATTCCTACAGTCCACACTATGTTTCATGTTTAAGCTAAGCCTGCTCAGATCCAGCACCTACATAGCAAGGCAAAGGTGCTTTGCATAGCAGCAAGAGACAGCAATAGAATAATATCAGATAGATACTAAAAAGGAATAAAAAGCCTCTGTCTTTTATGGAAATAAAGTTGTATAACAATTTTGTGGGATTGCTTGAGCTGTAGATCCCTATGGCCAGATTCACAACTGAGTAAATCACAATCATTAGATTCATACAGTTCTCTACCTATGTTCTGTAATACAGAAAACATAATATTTCGGTTTGTATAACATAGACAAATCACATTATGGCTGGTTAGCACATTATCGTTGGCACAATGTGTCAAGACTCTCCTTAATCATTTATACATAGGTAAAACAATTATTCTTTTGGTAATTAGTTAATAGCAGAGGTATTCACTGACTATATAGGTTGTAGTCACTTTAAATTACTTTTGGTATACAATACTTGTAGTCTTTAGTTTGAATTGTTGGGAAATTTCTTATAAGGCTAGTTCTGTTCAAATTGAGTAAGAATTGGTGTCAAAAGATAAAACGTTCTGACTATTTACTCTGCCTGTAATGATGGTGATAGATTTAAAAAAAACATGTTAGAAACTTGATTCTTCAGGTACACTGCTATTACTACTAAACAGGAAAGATATCCCTCCCAAAATCAGTAATTCCATTTCAGTCACATTTTATTGGGTCTCGTTAAGTCCATTACATTTTCTTAGTTAACTTTAGAACATCAGTAGCCTCATTGTATTAGATGAAAAGGAAATGTGGATCCTGACTTTCATTCTCAGATTTAATTGTATTAAACAAGGTTTGAGAAAAGGTGTCTTTACATTAACAGTCTTTCCTTCAGATTAGGGGTCTCCAACCTTGGCAACTTTATGACTTGTGGACTTCAACTCCCTGGCTGAGGAATTCTGGGAGTTGAAGTCCACAAGTCGTAAAGTTGCCAAGGTTGGAGACCCCTGCTTTAGATCATCTTGTTCAATAGAAGAAAATCTAAAAATAAGAGATGAAATGTGTGCACTGGGGGACCAGCAGCTCTGGCTCTTTACACGCCTTATCTGCTCATATTCAAAAGAACCCATGGAGCAGATTTTACACATTCTAGGTGAAGACCTATACTATGATAGATGCAATTGCATTCTTCTACTAGGGACTAGTAGCATACAGTATTTTTGCAATAAATTGTTTTCTTACCTGAACAACAATCAGCTTTCGCTCTTTTGATTTTCCATCTGGCCATTCCTCTCCAAAACAAAAGTAGATCTCATATGGTGGCTGTTTACTAATCTGTCCTTTCTGATGGGCAATTAACTCTGAATTTAGAGGAAGAATGTGAAAAGAGAGTATATAATAAATTACATTATTATGGTAAAAGAACAGATTGGTAATGTCCAGTAAGATATATATGCATTTTGAAATGACATATTTGAAGTAATTACTTGAAACAATTATCCTATCCTATCCTTCCCATTGTATCAATTGATCCCAACGGCATTTGCTTTCAGTTAGACTTTAAAACCAGATCAGTGCAATAATGAACTATAATAGAATAGGTAGCTGCTCATACTATTTCATAACTTTCAATAATGTGAAGATGTACAGAATGAATGATACCAGAGACCCATTTGGGCCAAAAAGAAGGAAATAGGTAGAAACCTTTGCTTTAATGGAGTATATTAAATTGGATCAATATCCATTCACATTTTCTGGTTTATAGAAAACATAAGCTATGCATTGTAGACCCAGCAAGGACTAACTACAAAAACAGCTGTATCCACTCTATAATGCTAACAGGGATACAGCCCTAGCTGGGCTAGTTTATGGTATTAATCCATAGATTACAAGGTTATCTATTGATAGTGATTCAAAGGCATTAGAGCTACTCACCACTTAGAAATGTTTCCAAACAAAAGACCTTAACTCTCTTCTGTCTTTCAATTAAGTTTGGTGTGGTAGGGGAAGGTGCACATGGCCCAGACCAATATACTTTGCACTGGCAAAGCCTGATAGCATAGATAGCATGACCACTGACTTCTAGTATTAACCCTCTGTCCATTACATCAAGCAGTCGACTGGTGAACAGCTTTTGCTTTTCATTCGTGATGGGTTCGGGCCCTGGAAACTTGACTTGCTCCAAATTAATAGGCCCAAAGAGTTCTTCTTGATCTGGCATAGGACCTAATTCTCCATAGAAAAGTCTGCAGCCTTGGGGGTTGCTCACAGTCATTGTCTGCCCAAACTCCTTGCCTCGATATTCAAATTTGATTTCGAGATCTGTCACTTAAGAAGAATACATTATTAATGTATCAGGCAGTACAGCAGGAACCATAATGACATTGTACCATATCTAACTGAATAAAATCAATACAAAATAGGAGAGACCACAGGTACTGTACATGCAAAGAAAAGATATAATTTGCTATTATTACAAAAAAACCCACCAAAATCCTAACAAATTATGGAGTCAGATTGATTGTAAAATAATGGCAAAGTTACTGTTAAAAGACTTGCCACTATATGAATCCAGTGGTTACCCATAGCAACAATCTAATCACTTGTTATGCATAATGGCTACCCAATTAATAACAAGCTATCCTAACATCATTAACCAACAGTTCAACAGTGTTCAACTATAAGTAGTCCTCACTTAACAACCATTTGTTTGGCACCTGTTTGAAATTATGATGGAACTGAACTAGTTACTTATGACCTATGCCTGAAATTACAAACATTGTAGCACCCCTGCAATCAGATGATAAAAATGTGGGTGCTTGGTGATGCACCTGCCCTTGAGACCATGAGAGTGCTGCAATTCTGTCCCACCTGCCTATGTCCCCCTCCCCTGCATCTGAAATACAGGCCCAGGGCCTTTGACAGTCAGCCAGCTGCCTTTGCCTCAAGCCTTGATGTCAGCCTTAGCACCACTGCTGCCAGTCAGAAATGCCACCATCTGCATACAAGCCTTAGGGAATTGTATGATTGCCCCCGTTTCCCAGAATTCCCCAAAATCTGCCATTTGCCGCTTACCTTCAGGTGTTTTTCTCCTGCTGTTGAGAGGCCAAGGCTGCCGGTCACAAGAGGCCTTTCCCAAAACTGCCTTGAAGCCAGTTCCAAAAGGGCTTTGGAAGCCTTCGAAGTCTCAGATAGGCCACATGGGCCTCTCAACAACAGGAAAAAAACGCCTGAAGGTAAGCGATGCACAGTGGGGGCAATTGTGCCATTCTCCAAGGTGTGTAAACCTTGGGGAATGGCACAATTGCCCTGCCGCCAAGCGCTGCTGAGGATATGCCATACGTTGCTTACCTTAAGCAGTTTTTATTTTGCTGTTGAGAGGCCTGTGCAGTTTACCCAATGTTTCAGAAGGCTTCTGAAGCTCCACTAGTTCGGAGACGGCTTCAGGAAAGAAGGCCTGGTGGAATTGGGAGATGCCTTGGATAAACTGCACAAGCCTCTCAACAGTAGGACATACATTTCTGAAAGCAAGCAGCATGCAGCAGATAGCTACTGTAGGAGCACTGGGCAATAGTGGCAATCATGCCACTTCCTAAGGCTTTTGTGCCTTGGAGAACAGTGTAAGGTGGCATTTTTGAGTGACAGCAACAGCGCTTTGGCTGATATTTAAACATGGGGCAGTAGCAGATAGCTACTGAAAGACCCGAGCCTCTATTTCAGGCCTCTAAAAGACCCGAGCCTCTATTTCAGGCCTAGGCCCCATGCTTCTACTGAGAAATACCACACCACAGGGCCAGGCTATGACATTGTGCCCCAGCTTGTGCATGCCCTACACTGGGCCTCACAAGACATTCCCCACCTGAGTTGTCTTCAAGCTCAGTTTAACGATTGCACCTGTAAGTGCTGAGGTGATGATCATGGACCAAAGTGGTCACATGGGCATCTCGCTTAATAACAGCAAGAACCTATAACCAAATTAAAGTTTCAATTGTGATCATAAGTCGAGGACCCCATGCAGGTTTCTTTTACAAGCTGATGCCAATTTTAAATCAGAATTATTTCCTGCCCAGACCAATTTGAATAATAACTGCAGAAGAATGTTTGCATTTGTTCAAGAAGTCTTTCAGAAATGCAGCTTATTTATTAGAGGTGAACTCAAGACTTTTGCATTTGTTCAACAAGTCTTTCAGAAATGCAGCTCATTTATTCGAGGTGAACTCAAGACTTTTGCATTTGTTCAACAAGTCTTTCAGAAATGCAGCTTATTTATTAGAGGTGAACTCAAGACTTTTGCATTTGTTCAACAAGTCTTTCAGAAATGCAGCTTATTTATTAGAGGTGAACACAAGACTTTCCAAACAAAAGAGTGCATGATTTGTCCTCTATTTATTCTAGTGGCTCCTGGACCAAAAAGACTTACTAGGAAGAGAACTAATCCAAAGTTCAGGAGAGCTGTACATATCATGCTGTAGAGCTGGCAGCGCAGGAGGCATTGGCATCTCCACATCTTCAGGCTCATTCTTTGGCCACACAGCTTCAGGGCTACAGGTCTCTGCACTAGCAGGAGCCATTGGGGAATCTAAGTAAAATAAATGAAATGTAATTATGTAATCCCCACTGCTTCCTAATATTTATAAAGAGATTCAATCATATCAGACAAGCAGGTTTCATTAGACTTCCTTATGCAATTAACCTTGTACTATTGGAATTTTACCTCCCCTTTCATCTAACCTGATAATCTAAATTAAAGCTTGTATTCTTTTCTTCTGGTAAGTATTAATAAGAGATAGTGCAATCTAACACTTTTGGCCTATAATTCCCAGAACTGTCAGCCAAGTGAAGGATAGTAGTTTGCACAGGTTTATCTTATGCATCAATTGTACCCATTCCTGAATTGGGAGGCCTTAATGGTGACTCATGCCTAGAGCCTCTGTCACGCATGTCAGGGAATGTATGTGTCTGTCGTTCAGAGATGGTTGCATAGCTGCTGCATTTATACAACTGCAAATGTTAACATTCTGGCTAGGCAAAGCACGGAACAGGAATTTGTATCAACCAATCAGCATGCAGGATGTGCACCGCCACACAATGCACAGTTGGGATTTGGGAGGTGTGCGCATCAGCCTGTCTGCAGCCATCTGCAACCTATGCTTACCCATCAACCCTTTTGCAGCATAGGTATGCAGCGACACCTACCGCAGTTGTGGGGTACTCTAAATCAAGCTTTCGTCACCTCCTGTTTGGATTACTGTAACACACTCTACATGGAGCTACCCTTGAAGAGCATTTGGAAGCTACAGCTGGTCCAGAATGTAGCCGTGCAGGCAGGTTTTGGTGTTTCTCATTATACCCATGTAACACCACTGCCCCACCGGCTGCACTGGCTCCTAGTAGGCTTCCAAGTGCAATTTAAGGGCTGGTCATCATCTATAAAGCCTTCTACAGCATAAGTCAGGGTTTCTTCTAGACCAAAAGAGAACAAAAGAGAAAAGAAAGCTTTAGATGCAAAGCATACGAAAAAAATAAAATGTGTCACTTGTACATTAAGAAAACTTAAAAAATAGCTCCATCAAAATGTAATTTAAGTCTGGGAAATTAATGCAGAGATATTTGTTGAACCAATGATACATTAAAACCTGAAAAACCTGAACTTAGCTCCAGGGAATTCCAAGACTTTTAAAGCTGTTACATATTGCCTTTGCCAGGAAGGTGTGTCTGTCCCTGCTATCCTGTGGGAATTTACCTTCTTCCAAAAGATTATGGTACACAATGTGTATGTGGGTATGTGGGAGGGACAATATGCCTCCATGGAAACAACCTTCTGTGGTCTAGTCTTCTTATACTGTTTCAAATAGCAGTGGTGGATGCCATATGGCATGCATAAACTTATCTAGGGTTATAAAATATCTGGACAACCAGCAAATAACAACAAAAGGTTTGATTTTTCTGTATCTGTTGCCATCTAGCGGTTGTTCAGATTCCTGTAGAGCAGATACCATTGCCATAACTTATTCCACCCTTTCATTAATTCCAAAGCTTTGGTGTCATAATCCTCAGGAACCCAATTAAAATAAATTCTCAGCAGCAAGGGAGTGCCCTTTGTTTTAAAATCCAACTTGCCTTACATCAGAGAGACATGAAGCAAAGAAAGCAAGATTATGCCACACACACATAGAAAGACTTCAAGTTAATAATTAAGATTTTGAATTCCACTTAATGTCAGATTAAGTGACTGCAGAAATGCAAAAATATCTCAATAAGTACATACACTTACCTGCATTTATTATTAAGTATCTAACAGATACACAAAAAGCAGGATGAAAATATTTACCAGGGAGAGCAGCATGTACCATTTGTGCTAAATATAAGTTATATCTCTGTAGCATGTTGCATGCTAATTTAGTTGCATTAGAGATAAACTTTTGAGGAAGCATTTGTAAAAATGTTGTTTAGTGCAACATTAACAAAAAAAGTGTTTAAAACATACATTTAAGTTCAGTTTCATTAACCGTATGTCAGAATAATCTACTAACCATTGATATTAAGAAACGGAAAACTGTCCTGTATTGCTACGTTTTGAGACTCATTTAATTCATCTTCATCTTCATCATCTACATCATTATCCTTTTCATCCCATGGAGCTGAACCGGTGGAACCTGGAAAAAAATATAGGAATTGAAAAATTAGAAAGTAATTAACACTCTAATTTTAAACAAAACAGAGGAAAAAATGGAATTCCTCTTTTGGAGCCCTATGAGAGTGTTGCAGAGTAATTCAATCTTTGGAATTCTTATGCTAAATATTCGTTGGTTTCCAAACATGGGAGAGTCTGTGAAATCCAAAATTCATTTTTGTTTCTCAGTTCAGATCTGGTGGCATAAAGCAGTTCTCCTAGAGTTTGGGGGTTTCGGGAGAATACTTTAATGTCTTTCCTTGAACTATGTAGCTAGAGTGTTAGAAAGTACATGGCAGATAAGAAAGTTTGCTTTCTCAAATATTTATTGGCCCTTCAGATTCAACAACTAACCCAAGATACTATATTTCTTCTAGCCATGTGCTGATAAAGCCCTGTTTAGCAAACAGGAAATGTGCAACCAAAGTTCCTAACAAATGCCATCCAATGTAGCACTCTTTTTAGAATAGGGGCATTTGTAATGGTGCCCTTATTTCAGTTCAAAATGAAGGGAAAAGAAACCCACGGTCAACGATCAGAGATGCATAAAAAAACTAGACCTCCCAAAACCCAAAATTCATGTTTTTACTCTGGATCCTTGCCAGGATGTACCTGAACTTTAAAGTTTTTGATCAATTTTGGCTTTAAAAAGGAAGCTCAGCTATTTAGATTTTACCATATATGTAGTAAATTCCTAAGTATGTAAAATGTACAGTATGAAGTACAGTCAGTTAAATAACACAAAGGATAAACTGAGATGCTTGTTCAATATAGTTACTGTATTCACTTAAACCTTAGTAATTTAGAAAGCCTCACTCCCAATAAGACAATTAGTTTAGGATTAGCTCCATGCTTCTTTAAACATGTGTCTCACCAGGATTAATGATTGGCGTCAGGGATGGTGGGATGTCACATACTTCATAAATTTTAATTGGATTCATTGGTACTTCTTTGGTGCCATCGTATATGAGCTTGAATTCACGGCTTTTGTTGAGAGCACAGCGGAGTTGGGCTTTCCATTTTGCGGGATCAGGATCATCAACCCCTTCTTGATACTTTCCTGTTTCCACAGCCCACGCCTGGGAGCAAAGTACATCACGTCAGTTAAGTGTTGCCATTATGCCAGCTTCTGTTGAATTGTGCTGCCAAACAAACTCTCATCTATAAGATACACCTAGGCAATAAATACTTTCTGCAACAGGCAATTGTTTCCTTTTACCTTTCTAGGAGACACAAATGTCTTAAAACCATTAGCTATTTTCTTTCTCAAGCTATTTCTAACAAGATACCCGACTGTGTTAAAACAAATCAACTCAGTGTTTACAATTTCTTTTTTTTTAAATGTGGAATTGAATTCCAAGTTTCACTAGATAAAATTAATTCACAATCTTCTAGAATAAAAGAAAAGAGAAAACCTACACCAAACAAAAAAAACCATTAACAAATACTTTTATTCCCTGATTATTTCTCTTTATAAGATTGTCAGAAATGGTTGCATGAAAAATCTTCCGCATTTATACAGTACATGCATTGCTAAAATTTATAGTTAGTCCTCTACTTGAAATAGTTCATTTAGTGACCGTTCAAAGTTACAATGTCACTGAAAAAAGTGATTTTTGACTGTTTTTCACACTTATGACCATCATAGCATCCCCATGGTCACGTGATTTACATTTGGACGCTTGACAGCTGGTTCATATTTATGATGGTTGCAGTGTCCTGGGGTCATGTGATCCCCTTTTGCAACCCTCTGACAAGCAAAGTCAATGGGGAAGCAGATTCACTTAACAACCATGTTACTAACTTAACAACTGCAATGGTTCACTTAATAGATGTGGCAAGAAAAGTCAAAAAATGGGGCAAAATTCACAACAAATTCTCACTTAGCAACATAAATTTTGGGCTCAATTGTGTTCATAAGTCGAGGATTACCTGTACTTCATGAGAACAAATGTACATTTTTTAAAAAATCCAGGTGAATATAATCCTCAGCAAAATGTTGAGAAGAAAATCCAATAGAGTTGAATGAGGCTAACTCCCAAAAAAGTTAGATGCTTAAGATAAGGAACTTTAGCGACAAGTGACAAGAACGCAAACATAAAGAGGTGAAGAGGTGAAAAGTAGATAATTAAAACCTTGAATCTGATAACCACAATACACCAGGGAAATTAGTTCTGCTATAGCACAAAGTACTCAAGGTAGACAAAGATAAGACTGATTGGAAGAGAGTTTTATCTACCAATTATCTGAAACCCTATTTGAATATATTGTGTTTTGTATATTACTTTGCCTCTCATTTTTCCCTGTAAATGTCTTTGTATTGCATGCATGCTTCTTCACCTAGGACTTCAGATCAGAATGTGGTCCTGCTTATGAAAACAAAGCAGCATACATCTCCATCAGGTTGCATCTCTGAACATATAAAGCATTTTATTGCTACAGAACAGCAAACGTAAGATTATTTGTATACTACTTTTGCTATTATTAATTTCATCCTCAATCCATTGGAGAGAGAGAGGGAGAGAGAGAGAGAGAGAGAGAGAGAGCAATCCCATTCTATTATGTAGCATACTAATAGAACTGTGTTTTTCAGTTACCTTAAAAATGGTATTTTCTTCTTCATGCTGAGGACTATGTCGAGTTGCATGCTTCCAAGGAATTTGAAATCGCTTTGCATCCCTGTTAAGCCAAAGAAGACCTGGATACATTCCACTGTCTACTTGAGCTACTAGCCAGGGTTTCAGTCGAACTCTGCGTGGATGTGATGCCATTATCTAGAAGGATAAAATACACACAGCAAACAATGTATGAAGAGTTTGTAGGCTCATTTTCTAAAGAGAAAGCAATAGAAACCAATTGTGATTGTAATCACATTGCTCTGATTTTCTTGTAACCAACTTTTGTATCAACTGATCTGATTTCTTTCTAGGTCAAAAGACAGAGAGGTCAACTTAACTTTTTCAGTATACTGAGACGATCAACTGTCCCATAGTCAAAACAACTGTTCAAATGAATTAAGTTATGCACAGCATATCTTTACAATGAAATACAGGGGCATGTATAGAAAATGGAGGGGGAAACATTTCCCACATTCTGGAATATCATCTTTCAGAATGTAGATTTGCTCCTATCATTTTGATCTTTAGAAAGAGCCTGAAGACTTTGCTCTGTCATTGTTTCTGAGGACCAGCAGTAGTGATAAACCTTGGCAATGGTTATATTAAGTGGAATGTGGTTGGCAAAGACAATATTAAAAGGTTATATGAAATGGAATCTTAAAAACTATAAGAATTGTCAAAAAAAAACCTCAGAATGAACTGAGGCTTTTAAAAGGTAACAAAAATAACAAAAAAAGCTCTTTGGATATTTTGGAAATGAAAGGAAAATTAAAGAGAATGTAACTCCATTGTGAGGAAAGAAATGGTGGGCAGAAGAGCACAAACAGCTCAGTTCTTTGTAATTCCTCTCCAGACAAGGAGATGATTTGAAATCACCCACAAATGCCCCAGATAGTTGTTCCCTGTGAGGACATTACATGACAACAATCGCCAGCAAGTTTAGAATTCTGGGAAATTAGGGAATAAGCCATCTTGCTCAAATTGAGGTTGATGATGTGAAAGGACACTGAGTTCACTACTTCCTTTTCTAATCACTTTTGAAAATTGCTTGCAAACTGCTTTTAAGCTATTACAAACCCTAGAATTGACAAGTTTTATAACACTGGATGACTTTCCAATGTTTGTGGGGGGGGGAATTAAATACAAGTGTGGGTAGGGTTGCCAGGTCTGCTTCCAAAAAATAGCGGACAAGCGGGGGGGGGG